TGAGCGGTAGTAAAATCGTAAAAGTAGTCAATTTAATAAAAGTCGTAAAAACGCTCAAAATATGATTTTTTTAGACGTAAAATTACGCGCTGTACACCATACAACAGGTTAAAATAGTCTACGATGCATAGTTTTTGAGATATTGAGTAATAAATTTAAGAATAAGGAGGCTTGAAACATAAGCACTATATCCGATTCTGACCAAAAAATCAAAATTTTTCAATTTTATCAAAAACTGATACAATATGTAAAATTACTCGTACAATTCGCCTGTACAAACCGTTTTGACCTAAAACACATAGTTTTCAAGTTATGACTTTTTTTATGAAAAACTAATGTTTATATTATATGTRRTTTATAATATTTTTTTTATTATTAGTCATCTCCATGTTTGAATGGCGCCGAATGCATCGACGGGCTCAACAGCTACACCTGTAACTGCACCGACACCGGCTACACCGGCACCCATTGCGAGACAAACATCAACGATTGCATTGGCGACCCTTGCGAAAACGGCGCTTCCTGCGAAGACAAAGTCAAGGATTACGAATGCCACTGCTACGCCGGCTACACCGGCAAAAATTGCGAAATCGACATCAACGAATGCGACAGTAATCCGTGCAAACACAACGGCACTTGTTACGAACACTCGAACCAAACCCTCTACCAACTCACTTACACAAATCTTCCTGAAATATTCRCATCGAAATTCAGCTATGACAAAGCCGCCGGTTATGAATGTCAATGTGTMGAAGGCGTCACAGGCGAAAATTGCGAAATTGACATTAATGAATGCGAAAGTTCGCCGTGTTTTGAAGGCACATGTGTGGATAAAATCGGAGGATTTGTCTGCGACTGTGATGAAGGTTTCGAGGGTGAAAGATGCGATATTGATATCAACGAATGCGAACGTTACAAGCCTTGCCTTTATGGGAAATGTTGGGATAGAAGAGCGTCGTATTATTGCGAATGCGATACGAATTACGGCGGGAAAAACTGTTCGGTTGGATTGACAGGTTGCGATACGAATCCKTGTTTGAATTCGGGGACTTGTAAACCGTATTTGATCGATGAAAATATCCACCGATTTAATTGCTCTTGCCCTCATGGGTATTACGGACAAGTGTGTGAGCAAATCACGACAATGTCGCTATCGGGGAAGTCCCTGATTATTGTAAAYACATCACGGGAAGAAGGCTATGACATTCAATTCCGGTTTAAGACAACACTAGGCGATGGATTATTAGCTTTGGGCAAAGGTTTGACTTACTATATCCTCGAGTTGTCTCGAGGGCGTCTAAATCTGCACTCAAGTTTATTGAATAAATGGGAAGGCGTTTTTATTGGATCGAATTTAAATGACAGTCAATGGCAACGCGTTTTTGTAGCGATTAATTCGACTCATCTTGTTTTATCAGCGAATGACGAACAGACAATCTATCCGATTAGTTTTAACGAAATTTCAAACGGTACTACCTATACGAGTTTTCCCTTGACGTACATTGGGGGAATCCCAAGTAATTTGAAAAAATTGACTCATGGTAAACCGTATTTAGTCGGTTGTACCGAAGACGTGCTTATTAACGGCGAATGGATTTTACCAGAGASCAAAAATCCGGCTCTCACTTTCCAAGAAGTGGCAAAAACGTGTCAGAGACAACCTCAATGTAATCCGAATCCGTGCCATTCAGGGGGGCACTGCACCGATCTCTGGCTCGGTTTTAGGTGTACTTGTGGACGGCCCTATTTGGGGGACACTTGCCAATACAGTAATAAATTTAATTCAATTCGAAAACAAATTTTACGAATTTTGGATTCCAGATTATACAGCTGCGACTTTCGGTTATGAAAACATAACCAATTCTTTGGTGACGGTTTATGTGGATAGTGCTGCAAGACGTGCTGTTCGTACTATAGTAGACATAAGCATGTTTATAAGGACGAGACAACCCAAAGGTCAAATTTTTTATTTGGGGTCCTTGCCGAGGACAATGAATCCAGCTGAGGAGACGTATATTGCGGCACAATTAGAAGGGGGCGAATTATTAGTCAGGATACAGTTTAATGGCACTCCCGAGGCCTATACTGTAGGCGGCGTGAAGCTTGATAATGGGTACGATCATTTAATTGAGGTAAGCATTCAGCAAAAAAAAAAAAAACAATTTTAGTCTTTTTACAAGATTTTATTTAACTTACTTTGTCTGTCTGCACAAAATCTTGCAGTCAAATTTTGCATACACACGCAATTCGCGTGACAATACAATAATTTTTACWTTAATTAATAATTTATAAACAATTATCCAAGAGGCCGTTATTTAAAAAATGTGTACAATTAATTCAAATTAAAAAAAAATCTTGTAGTTGCAGTAATTCCTATAAGTAATTC